CCCCCCCCCCCCCCCAATCATGGGCAATAAGACTGTGTCTTTCACTATATATAACAGCAACAAGCTAGCTGGATACAGGTGTGTTTAAGCAGAACCTGTAATGCTGCATCCACCATGTACACAAGAATACACCCATCAAACTCAGTGGGATCTACTTATGAATAGACACATATAGGACTGCACTATTAAACAGACAGGAGTATAGGAAGCTGCCTTATAATAGGACAGATTATCTATCTGTCTTTCTGTCTGTCTGTCTGTCTGTCTGTCTGTCTGTCTGTCTGTCTGTCTGTCTGTCTGTCTGTCTGTCTGTCTATCTATCTATCTATCTATCTATCTTATTTTTGGCATTATTTTCATCATTCTTTCTGGAGATCCCACATATTTCCTGATGGTCTCCCACACAAGCAATAACTGAGCTGGACCACACTATGTAATTGAAATGCCTTGAAATGCCCATCTCTTCCTAACTGAGGAGAAGCATGCATATGGTTACAAGAATTGTAACAATTGTGAATGAAATGCCTGTGCTTCAGAAAATGCATTTGTGACATGAACAATAGTCAATTATGTAGAGCTCTTGTAAATACTTATATATATTCTGAAACTAAATATTAAATACATATTCTGGAATCCATTCTAAAATTGATAAAATTTTACTAAAAATGAGAATACAAGTGACACATAATGCGTGCCTTAAAATATATTTTTGAAAGTATTTAAAAGTCTCTTGCTTATGGTAACTCACATTCTTTCCCAACAATCAGAGAAATGAAACCACACTTATGGAATGAATGAATGCTTCTGTTTTAAGATACGACATTTTGTACATTTTTGTATTTTTTTTGTATATTTTGTACCACAATTTTAATTTAAGCGAAGCAGGCCCATAATGGTTGCAGCTGCAGCAGATCACATGTGAAGTGGAATAGTTTTACAAATCTATCATTGGTCAAGATTCATCAAAGTTGTTTCGATGGAACTGTTTCTGCCGATGGAACCAGAAATGGGGTGATTCCTGAAAATCTGCACTTTAGGATTAAAGCCCTTCAGAGCCATAGTGTTTGTGTGCATGTGTGGCCGGAACGCTGCCAGGGAGGTTAGAATGGAGGGCAGCCCTGTCATGCTCATCGTTAGATACAAGTGTGACGCTGGGTTTAAGCTGTTAATTTTGACGTGTTAATTTTAACATCTGCAACTCCCACTATCAAACGGAGATGAAAAGTCAGACACAATGATTGTTTGAGATGGGATTGGAATTGAAAGTCTCCTCAGAGAGGGGATTTCCATAGCACTTGCTGTAATTGCTTTGCACAATAATTTGCATGTTGGGTTCAACAGGAGGTGTTTCAGTGCAAACAAAAGGGAAAAAAGGGATTGATGCCAGAAATGTAATATTGCTTGCCGAATTTTTTGCTTGAGAGAGCTTCGGGAAAAAAGTGCTAAGGGTTACTTTTCAAACCAACTCCCCTTTTTAGTTTGTGAATAACCCCATGATGGAAAAAAGTGAGGAGGGGCACAAACATGGCCAGTCAAACCCTGATAAACCAACAAGGTACAAATGGACATGTACAGTATAGTCTATTTCCAGCCTCGCTGGGTCTGTTTCAGGCCTCAAATAGCCTTTTTATAGAGGTCACTTCTGGCTTGGGAAATCATAGAATGATTGAGTTGGAAGCCATCGAGTCCAACCCCTGCTCAAGGCAGGAATCCAAATCTAAGCAGATCTGACAAATGGTTATCCAGTTTTCTCTTGAATCCCTCCAGAGTTGTAACAGTCACTGTCTCCAAGGTAATTGGTTCCATTGTTGTACTGCTCTAATAGCTTAGATGTTTTTACTGATATTCAGAAAAATGAGTGAGCGCAGCCTGTTGTGGTCCAGGAGATAGCAGAAATAGTCTCTGAACCTTTTACAACTGCCCACTTCTATGCCAAAGTTTTCTGGAAATCTGTGTATAATATTAGGGATTGAAAAAAGGCAATAAGATTCATAGAGACACCTGTGTCAAAAGTATCCACTCAGTTCTGGGATAAGTTTATCTCATTTATCTTATTATCTCTTTATTCTATGTGCTGTTGATTAGTCCTTCTAAATTTGCTCTGTGTTTATCCAAGTCCTGGACAACAGAGGCAGCTGTGGAAGGGCCTCTAAATATTGAGAGAGATTGCCCGTTCTGCATGTATGAGTAGCCCAAAGGAGCAGATCGGAGGAACTTCTGATGCATTCTTGGGTTTTTAATATTCTCCTTTAGTATTTTATAACAATATGTTATAAAATGTTTTATTATGTTTATTGATTAAAGTATTGTTGACGTGTGCTCTTGTAAGCTGCCTTTTGTTCTCTCTCTCTCTTTTAAACTAGTTTCAATACAAATGATGGAAGTTAATAATAAATATATATATCAAATTAAATATATACTGTGACGAATTCAAACATTGTGGAAGATCCTCCCTACAACACACTGAGTCTGCAGTATAAAGTGATAATTTATCATAAAATATATAAGCTAAGGTCTTGAGCTGTTCATCCTCTGCTTATTTTGAATTCTACGTGCATTTTGCAAGTGTGACAGATAAATAAATAACCCCTACATCTAATTATTCTGCTAAGTATATAAAATGCAAATATATGATTTTTATTGTTGTCTTCTACAGCAGAAATGTTAGACAAGCCTATTATTGCTGTGCACAGTGTGAAAAGAGAAAACATGATACAGATGTGCTGAACTGTTAATTCTTAATGAACATATTTTAATGGCAAGCAGTCAGAATTAAATAATCTTTGGCATGCTGGAGAATGGTTAGGACTACAGTTTAGATTTGGCTATATTCTCAGACTTGCTTGTAAATATTGTAATGGGTTGGGAAATCACATTTGAATTAAGGACAAATAATTTGCCATGTTTTGGAATTTGATGCTTTTTGTGTTAACTTTTTTGTCAATAGATGTAGTCTCAGCTATGTTGCTAGAAATACATTTTTTGTTACTGGTTTATTTTTTACTAGAAACTAGGCAACTGATTAATGGGTAATTCTTGTATGAGAATTTCATTATAGAGAAAACTATAGATTTTTATTTTTGAGTAATGCCATATAGAAGACTGCCCATTCTTGACAGTGTTGTTTTAAATCAGAGCTGAGCAACAGTGGCTCTCCAGATCGTTCATGGTTACAATTCCCACAGTCCTTTACTATAGATTGTGCTGGCTAGGACTGATCGAAATGTTAGGCCAAAACATCTGGATAACCACAATTGCCCCCCTCTTATAAAGGGTTGTTTTTGTTACGTGTCATCAACTTGCCTCTTACTTATGACAGCTCTAAGCAGGGATTTCAAAGTATGTGAGATGTTCAAGGAGTAGTTTACCATTATCATCTCCCAGGAGTTTCCATGGTGAATCTTCCAATGAGCACTTGGGCATCCTCTTTTCCGAACAGGAAGTTAGCCCATGAAGACTGTAAGCTAGGCCTTTCTCCAGGTGAGCCATATTTAGGTGATGGTAGTTGTGGGTCTGTCAGGTGGAATTCTGATAATGGAGAATTCTGAGAGCTGGATTCCCAGAAATCCAAATGGCACAGCCCTCATAGCCAGTGAGTGGAAAAGGTAAATGTATAACTAATGAAAGCATGTGTCACTAGGTTCTGTTATCACTGGGATTATGCAGATAAATTCAGTTTGTTTGGTATATAGTCTTCAGGATTTAAACATGAGTTTCCTTTGAAGTCTGATTTCACAAACTGAAAAGACTTTGTGTGTGTGTGTGTGTTTATATCTCTTGGCAATCTTAATGTGCGTTCATCTCTAATTACAAGTGATTACCTATGGCTGGTTCTGGCCTTGGTTTCAGTCTTGGTATAAAGGGAACACCATACAAAATACTAAAGAAAATCAAACTATCAGTATTTGTTCCTGTGCATTATTTATGCCTTTCTTTTATATCTCATTCCAACATGGTTTTCCAAACAACAATGTTTAATAACCATTTTGTTTGCATACTAGATGTGCAACTGGTTAGGACAGTGGCAGAAGCTGTTAAGAACATGTAGTGAAACTTTCTAACTTTGTTTTCCATTCTCCTAGGTTAACATGGTCATGTCCCTTCTGGGAATGTTCTGTCCTACTGTGTTTGATGTCATCAGTGCCCTGGAAAACTATCATCCTCGAATTGCCCTCCGCTGGCAGCTAGGGCGCATATTTGCTCTCTTTCTGGGCAACCTGTACACTTTCATTATTGCTCTCATGGATGAAATCAATTTGAAGGCACGTCAGATAATCATTTCTACATTTCTCTTTTCTTTGAAATTCTAGAAAAAAGTTTTAGCTTGAGCGCTTAAAAAGTATGGAGATACACTTCTAAGCACTATTCCTCTTGGTTTTGAACAAGTCTTACTGAAGCCTATGTAAGATGTTGGTAGAAATGAAACTGTTTCCATTGAAATAAATTCTACTAACTTTAGTTTATTCTGGAATATGAATGTTTTATTTATTTATTTATTTAAGTTGTATACAGCCCCCATTAGTGCGAACACTCTCTGGGTGGTTTACAACACATCAAATCCTATTAAAATCAACAATATAGTAAAAATGTACACTAAAATAAATAAAACCCTGTTACTAGCTTACAAACTTGCATTTAAATAGAATTAAATAACTTTAAAGCAAATGTGGACATCTTAGGTCAGTGATTAAACGGACTAATAAAAAGCCGCTTTCCATAATTCTGTTTTTACTAATTTCCTGAGAGGAATTGCACCAAACAAATCTTTGTTGGAAGCTTGTTCCAGAGGGAGGAGGACATGAACTGTTGCTGTTCCTGTTGCTCTCTCTTTGGGCCTCCTTTGGTATCACCATTTTAAACATAATGGACTGGGAGGAGTGGGTAGGACAGGTAAAGCAAAGCAAAGCGTGCTGCTTATATACCGCCCCATAGCACTCTCTGGGTGGTTTACAAGTTAAGTATGCAGGCTACACATTGCCCCGCTCCCCCAGTGCTGGGTACTCATTTTACCAACCTCGGAAGGATAGAAGGGTGAATCAACCTTGAGCCGGCTACCTGGGATTGAACCCTGGGTCATGAGCACAGTTTTAGCTGCAGTACAGCAATTTAATCACTGTGCCACGAGGCTCTTAACAGGTAGCTGTTTCATGTGAGAGATGTTCTGACAATTAGTGAGGTCCTAAATTGATAAGGGCTTTTTTAGGGCATGACTAGCAGTAATTATGCTATAACAGCAGCAGCAACAACAATAAGGTTACTTCTGCTATCCTGTTTCCCCGAAAATAAGACCTAACATGAAAATAAGCCCTAGTAAGATTTTTCAGGATGCTTGTAATATAAGCCCTACCCCAAAAATAAGCCCTAGTAAAGTGAAACCCTGCCCTCCGCCATTGTGCAGCAACCAGAAGAAGATGACGTGACCGTATTTGAATAAATGTAGATGGTTGTACATGAAAAAAAATCCCCTGAAAATAAGCCCTAATGTGTGTTGTTGGAGCAAAAATTAATGTAAGACCCTGTCTTATTTTCAGGGAAACACAGTATTGCTGACATAGTCTGCTGTATATAATGACAGGAATAATGTTGCCATATTATCTTCCTGTTGATAACACTATTTCCAAGCCCAAATCCATCTGCTGCTCTCGTGTAATGAGCAGATGGATTTGTATTAACACTGGTAGATGATGCAGACTTATAAGTCACTTGCAATGAGATTTTACTTTTATTAAGGAAGTTGGGGTCTCTCTGTCCATAGTTATTCCTGTTAAAAAGAGACTGTGCTTATTACCACCTTTTAATTTAATTTATATCTTATGTCAGATGTGGAATTTTTTTTTCTCACCATCTGAGAAAAATTATATTGAATATTCTTTCATATTCTTAAGTGGAATGTGTAAATGTTTGTCCACATGGAGGCAGAAGTACCCCGTTCAGTGCTGTTCCTTTCAGTTATTTTGCCTACTAACCAGATGACCCAAGGATACATTGAAATAGCCTTTTTCCCTGACCTCTGCTTAAAAACACTCTCTGTGTGAAAGTCCGGTATTATTTTGAACCAGGCTTTGTTGTGGGATACAGTGGGTGGGAGCTTAGTACACCAGTGCTTCCTGTGCAGAGTTCATTCCAGGTCAGGGGCTCCCAGTTCAAATGTCTTTAAATAACTCAAATAGCCAGAATACTACTAGTAATAAAATGCTCTATTATTTCTGAAAAAAAGGCCTTTATAATATACAATACAAAAAAGGGGGAAAGAATTTTAAAAACAGGTAAATATAATAGCTCATTAAGACACTTATTATCAGTCCAATCATGGCATCCTTCAAAACGACCAGACTTACTGCATAATTAGTTCTTTATTTGCATTTAAAAAATTGGCCGATGGCAGGAGAAGCTGCAGTGAAGAAAGGATTTACAGTGGTGCCTCGCTTAGCGATTGCTCCATTTTACGGCAAAATTGCTTTGCGACGCTGTTTTTGCAATCGCAAAAGCGATCGCTTTGCAATGGCCCCTATGGGGAAAATTTGCTTTGTGATGATCGCGCGGAAGCGATCATCACAAAGTCCCCATTTTCAGCCAGCTGATCGGCGGTTCCAAAATGGCTGCCGGAAAAACAAAACGGCAACCGCTGTTTTGCCTCGCTTTAGAAGCACTGAAAATGGCTGCCCCTATGGGGGATCTTTGCATAAGGTCAGTTTTCAAGCCCATAGGAACGCATTAAACACATTTTAATGCGTTTCTATGGGCTTTTTAAAACCCCTTAGCGACAAAATCCCTTAGCGACGTTTTTCCTGGAACGGATTAATGTCGCTAAGCGAGGCACCACTGTATAGAGATTTCTTTGCTAGGAAACCTGGAGAAGCAATTTTTTTGGGGGGGGGGTTGGCTTTTGCAGTGCAGTGTAGGCAGTATCAATACATCCCAGTCCTCTTCAGGTTGAACTGTGCCTACTTGTACTCATTTTTACCCATTTGGACAAGTTCTGAAGTTCACTTTGTACTAGCTCTTAAAAGCTAATTATTTCTGAACTGAGATATCGGAAAGAGAAAGCAGAAAAAGTGGTGGCAATTGAACAAACAGTAATTGGAGAAAGTCAGTTCTTATACACATTGAGATATGGCCTTTAGACGCTCCAGATCATGGTGTACTCCTTTGAAAGTTGGTGCTTTAATAGACAAATGTAACAGCCATTGCCTTTGTTTTGTTTTGTTTTGGCCATTCAGCTGGACCAGGTGGCAGGGTGGTGGTGCCCCTTCCTGAGCATTAATAGGACCAAAGTGTTGTTTCAGTTGCTGTATGGGGCCCTTGTATGGCTTACACTCAGAAATGGAACTTTTGGATTCGGAATGACATAAGTTTCTGACAAGAGCCAGGGCATGAGAGTGACACATATTTCTAAGGCAATTTTAATATAGATGCCCTGTTGCTCAATAGGAACTGCTGTCCATTAAGATAAAATTCCAGTGGCACCTTCCCGCCCCCATGACATTTGAGAATATGGGTCTGGAATCATAAGCTAGAAGAATCTGTTAAACTGTTTTTGAACTGTGGACGCTTTGATTACAAAGGTCTCATTTGAAAGTCACAAGGTATTTAATTAATGTTGATTTCCATACTATTTCCACACCTGTGATCAACTGCTGTTCTAAACATTTATTGCTTCCCCTAGAAATTATTCCCACACGTTACTTCTGAAATGAAGATTAACTATTTTGCCGTTGATTGCACATAAAGGAATATTAGCACAGTCAAATTTTCATGGGTACATATTTCCTTTTAGCTGGAGAATTTGACTTATTTCTTTTTAGAATGCCCACATATTCACACTTAAAAACTCAGTCTCTTGACTCCCTGTCTGCTGATACTGACAATATTTTAAAATAAAAATACAATGGTGTTTATATTAGCAGTAACAGATTAGTATATGACATTTGGGGCTGCTGAATATGTTTAACTTTAGACGGAAAGCTTTCATCTATCACCCTGATGCCAATGTATTTTCCATGTTAGTTAATAATTATTTAATTACATAATTAGTTGCTATGATATACTACTGCATTTTATAAATACGATTCATTTTTATTTTGTGTTCTTTATGATTTTTTAAAAATTTGCTCCTTTGTTTGCCTTCCTTTGGCATTTAGGCAAAAAGTCCTATTGGCTTTTTGTTTTGTTTTGTTGTTGTTTGTGCAATAAACTTAATTGAACTGAGCTACAGTGGTGCCTCGCTTTATGATTGCCCTGTTTAATGACGAAACCACATTACAATGAACTTTTTGGGATAGCTTTTGCGATCACAAAACGATGTTTCCTATGGGGGAATTTCGCTTTGCGATGATCGGTTCCCTGCTTCGGGAACCGATTCTTCACAAAACGACGATTTTCCAACAGCTGATCGGCAGTTTCAAAATGGCCACCGGGTAAACAAAATGCCCCCCCTATTTTCTGGGACGGATTCCTCACTGCACAGGCAGCGAAAATGGCCGCCCTATGGAGGATCTTCGCCGGACTGTAAGTTTACAGCCCCTTGGAACATATTAAACAGGTTTGAATGCTTTTCAATTGGTTTTTTCTTTTCGCATTATGACGTTTTCGTTCTACAGTGATTTCGCTGGAACGAATTAACGTCTTAATGTGAGGCGCCACTGTACTATTACTGTTGTTAGTAATTTATGTTTTGAGTTACAATAAAATAACTGTTGCACATGCATTATCTGGGGATCCAACTGGATATGTTAAGTGCACACTGTCTAGTTCTGAGTATTTATTATTTGCTCATAAATAGAGCCCTGTTCAGTCATTCTGAAAGTGTGTGGAGAACACATGCAATGAGGGGAATGTGCTAGCCCTGTCAGCACATAAAAGTATCAGTCAAAATGAAAGGAATGGTTTTGAAGGTAGTCCACAGATCGTATTGGTACCCCACAAAATTACACAAAATTAATGGAGAAATCTCAGATAGGTGTTGGAGAAACTGGAAGTAAAGGCACACTAGAACACTTGTGGATCTCTTGTCCCAAAGTGGAAGCATATTGGTGGGAAATAATTAAATGGATAGAAACATTGTTGAATAAAAAAAGAATTAAAAAAGCTTTAATATTATTTTCCATATTTAAGGATGGAAATGAAAAATTATTCAATAAAGACCTAATTGCACATCTTATTGGAGCAGCAAGAGTTGAAATTGCACAAAACTGGAGAAATGCTCAAGATCTTTCAGTATAATCTGAGAACAGAATCTGGCAAATGGTCCTTTGAGCGATCAAATTAAAATATATAG